GTGGAGGATAGGAGGAGGACAGGAGAAGGACAGGTGGAGTGGAGGACAGGTGGAGGACAGGTAGAGTGGAGGACAGGAGGAGGACAGGTATGTTGCGTTCACTGACCAGAGCAGAGAGCAGCTTCAGATATTGTTTCCTGACGTCCAGGTAGAGACGACCATAGTTCAGGTTCACCTCAGAACTGCGACACAGATCAGGGGCGGAGTTACAACTTTATTCAAACATCTGAACAACAACAACAAACACAGATGACGTCGTCACATGAGGTGATCTGTCAGGTGTGTTCAGGTGCGCTCAGGTGCGTTACCTGCAGATGACCCAGTCCAGAGCCTTGGGGCTGATGTGCAGAGCCGCTCTGACGTACGGGTTGTTCAGGTAGAGAGAGGAGGGGGTGGAGTTAGTGCAGGGCGGGTCCAGACGGACGGACAGGTGTTGAGACGCCAGACCTCGTAACTTCTACTCACACACAGAGTAAGAGGAGAAGCTGGTTTCTACCTGTCCGACAGGTGAGGGGACGTTAAAGATCAGATGATGTCACACTCACCTGGTTCCACAGCTGAGTCCACTGATGGTTGATGAACGAGTTACCCAGGTCTCTGATCACCAGCTCGCCTCGCTCAACACTGACAAACGACAGGAAGTCAACCTGTGAGGTCACACCGACAGCTGACGAGTCAGAGGTCAAAGGTCACAGCTTACCTGACTCTCTGCTGGACTCCACCTGGACAGGGGGCGTACAGGTTGTACATGTTGAGTCCTGAACTGTAGACGATGTCCTGGACCTCTGACAGCTGTGGGACAGACACAACACCTGAGACGGACTGGTCCCACCTGACAGAACCAGTTCAGACTGCCTGAACCGGAAACCAGTTCAGACCGGCCGAAACCAGAGACCGGTTCAGACTGAACCCAGTTGAAAATATAAACTAGCTACAGATGAAACCAGTTCAGACCAGTTGAGACTCACGCTGGCGGAGCAGTTCTTGTTAGGGTTGTTGTAGAAGTTGCACTTCCCGTCGCTGCAGCAGTATGTCTGAAGCTCCGCCCACAGACGACTTCCCAGCAGGCCGTGGTAGTAGGCAAAGAACACCAGAGAGTTATCGTTCATCTCGTAACTGGACATCCCGTTTCCCACGGCAACGCCCTGCAGGAC